TTTTCTCCTTTCTTCCTTCGTAGAACCTTAATATAAACACAGTGGCTAGTACCTGTGTATTGCTCTGTTGTCCTCTTACTCTATTCTTACAGTCTAGAAATCTTATTCGTATAGGTATTGTCATGGCGCTGCCAGACATGCTGGATCACGTGCATGTTCAGTCCTTCCATCTCAAGCATATAAGGCTGTCACTCCTTCCATCCGATGTAGTTAGCTTCTTCTTCTTCTTCATCTTTAATTATTTATTACATTCGTCTGATTATTCGTGTCCCAGCACTCGAGATCTACGTGACGTGACACTTAATTAAAGATCCTTCCTACGGGTCGTATTATATCAAACTCCCTCTCATCCCAACCGCCGCGGATTCCGGAACATCGGACTGTCTCGATATTTGCAGCTGTACTCGAAAACTGGGCGCGCATCGCCAGAACCGAACTCTCTTGGGATGACAGATCATCACATCTCTTCATTGGAGCTATGGCCCTCTAGATCGGATCAAATGACATCGGATTCATTACCAATTGAACGGCTGGTCTAAGGTTAAAGATGCAGTACAACAGCGACCCTTCCATTCGGGACCTCAGCCGCGATCCAACGTGGTTCAGCCCATTTCTCTTCTTTCCTGGTTCTGACAGCCCAGCTCAAATTCTGTCATTCCCCTCATCTCTCCACTCTTCAACAGGCAAACACTGGATCTGACAGCTCATCATCAGACCGCCGGCGTCGTGGTGTGGATTCCCGTTATCCGGTATCTTCCCGAAACATATGCCAGATTCCCGCTATATTGAGCCGTATTTCGTCTGGTATCCCCTGTCTCAAAACCAATGCCAACGACTATAGACCCACTTTGGCAACATCAACGACAACCAGGTCAGACACTTCCTCTTTTCTCGTTCCCTATCACTCTGCTCTCTCCATTGTTCACGGCATCTCTCGGATCATCAAAGCAACCATCGCCGCTATTCACGACCATGGCCGAGGAGCAGCCACAACCCCCTATCTTGAGCCTCGAGTCTTTGGCCGACCACCTTCAGAAGCAAGTCAATCGCATGGATGAATGCGAGAAGGCCTTTTCTGCACTCAGGAAGAATATCGTCACCTTGAATAAGGCACTTGACAATAACACCGCCCTGGTTCAAGCGCTTCCAAAGTCTAGCTCAAAACCCAAGGCTGGACTTCCTGATGTTGAGAAGTTCAACGGCGCTGCTTACACCTTCGAGACTTGGCTCCCTTCTATCCAAGCGAAACTCAGGATCGATGGAGATGCTATAGGCAATGCTGAAGCCCAATTCTGGTATCTCTTCTCCCGGCTCGATGGAAAGATCCAAGCCTTGGTGATGCCCCAGGTTCAACAAGCTTCGGAACTTCAGGTTTTCGATCCTCAAGACTTGCTCGATCAACTGAACCGCATCTACGATGATCCTCACAAAGTCCAGCAAGCCGAAAACGCTCTCTACGCACTCCGCCAAGGTGATGAAGGCTTTGGTCTGTTTATGGCTAAGTTTGAAAGGCTTCTCTATAAGGCAAAAGCCAACCTTTGGACTGAACCAGCAAAAATCTCTCTCATCCGCCAAGCTCTCAACAAGGACACTCGCAAACGTGCTCAACTTCTCCGCCCAGTTCCGGTTACTTACGTGGACTACGTACAAAAACTCAAAGAAGTCGTGAACTCTATCCATAAATCTAAAGATAAAGATGCTATGGA